GTGAGGAGAGGAAGAATAGACAGATTTGAGAAACAGTCATCCATAAAACACACTGGGCTTAGTAATCACCTATTTGGATGTTTATGAGAAGGAGGAAAACGAGAGAAAAGTCAGAATTGAGTTATGAATGCCTGGTTTGAGCCCTTGGGATGCTATGAGCAGCGGTGGAAGAGGGGATGGTTTTGCAGAGTCACTTTTGCGATCTGGAAAAGTGACTCTGGAAAAGAGTCACTTCATCTCTGGAAAAGATGGGAGCAGTTGAGTATAAGGGTCTGCACTCAAGTGAGAGACCTGGGCTGGAGACATTCAATCTTTATCCATTGTCTCATACAGCAAATAGATAGGGAGTGCCTACTATATGCCAAGCACTGTTTTAAGCCCTGGGAATATAATGGCAAAAACAAAACAAAACAAAACAAAAAAGGACAAGTTCCTATTCTGGTGGCACTTTCATTCCAGTAAAGAGACTGGGCAAACCAAACAGCAAGTAAATAAATGTATAATATGCTAAAATGTCAGGTAGCTATACGCTCTGCAGACAAAGAAACTAGGGTGAGAAACAGCACAATGCGGTGTGGGAGATATTTTAGATCAGGTCGTCCAGAGAAAAGCTTCTTTGAAGAGGTGGTATTTGAGCACAAACCTGACTGAAGCTTCAGAGGGAGCCCAGGGAAAGTTCAAGGGAAGAGTGTACGAGGAAAACCGTGTGGGGCAGAGCGACTTAGAAGGAACAGGTGGTATCAGGTGTAGATCCTCTGACTCTGTCTTTGCAAAGTAATTGTTCTGGCTAGACCACTGGCATTCTAATATAAATTTTTGAATAAGCCTGACATTTTGTGCATACACAGTATATACCTGCTGGAATTTTGTGGAGATTAAGTGGAATAAATAGATTAACATGAAAAAATAATATTCTAAGAATATTGTTTTCCATCTATTTAATATCACGGAACTCTTTATTTAGGGCTTTAACTTCTTTCAGCAATGGGTATAATTACTACACATATTAAAATTAGCTGTAAGTAATACATGCTTTTGGATGCTGTTGGAAATGGAATTGTAATTTTTATTTCACTTTTCAATTATTTATTGCTAATATATAGACATGCTCCTCTCTTTTTGTATATTGACTTTGCATAGATTCGCTTACTAGTTCTAGGAGCTTTTTCTGTATGCCTAGTGATTTTTCAGTATACCCCACATGTTCTGCAAAAAGAGTTTTACTTCTTTCTCTCCATTCTATATGTCTGTCATTTGTTTGTTTGTTCATTCATTCATTCATTCATTCATTCATTCATCTATTTGACCTATCACATTAGCTGGGGCCTCCAGAAGAATATTGAGCAGTAGCATCCAGATAGGGTATCCTTGTCTTGTTCTTGATCCCGGGAGAAAAGCATTCAGTCTTTCACCAGTAAGTACAGTGTTATCTATGGGTTTTTCATAGATGTTCTCAAATCAGTTGAGGATGTTCCCTCTCTTTTTTTCCTAGTTTCCTGAGAACTGTTAATCATAAATGGATACTGAATTTTTCAAATACTTTTGTTTCATTTATTGACATAATTACATGAGTTATTTGTCTTTATTTTGTTAATACACTGAGTTATGTTGTGATTTTTGAATGTTAAACCAACCTTGCATTTCTGGAATAAACCTCACTTGGCATGATATATAATCTTTTTCATATGTTACTGGGTTCAATTTGCATATATGAAATCTGTCCAGAAAGAATCCAGCCATTGTTAATATAACAAAAGTAGTTTGCGTGGCATGGATATAACCCAGCAACCAAGGAGACTGGAATGCACATGTGTGAACAATGACCACTTCACTGTACTAGTCAGTGGGGGTGGTGGACACCATTGAGTGAGCATGCGTACTGTGTGAGTGTCGTATTCAAAATGATAAGTGAGCAGAACAATGAGTCTGCATCATATTTTGCAGTAAGCTTGAACATTCCTCTGCAGAAAGTATTTGGAAGATTCAGAAGGCTTTGGAGATGATGCAATGAGTGCAGTGCAAATAAAAGTGTGGCACAAACACTTTTGGTCAAAAGATGGTCAAAAATCTGTTGAAAGTGATCCCTGGGCTGGAAGACTGCAACAAGCAGAACACCAGAGAATGTTGACTGTGTACGGGCTGCAAATCCACAAAGATCGGCAACTGATTGTGTGAGAACTAGAAGCTGATCTGGGGATTCCAAAAACTACTGTGTCCAAGATTTTGACACAGGATCCTGGCATGAAATGTATTGTGGCAAAGTTTGTTCTGTGGCTTCTGCTACCAGAGCAGAAGTAACGTCAGGCTGCAGTTAGTTGCTAATGACGCTGGGAGAACCATGTGAGGTCCCAAGGTGCCTACTGTCAAGGGGCCTGAAGTGTCATTGTCCTGTGTACAATGTTTCTTGTATCTTCTTTAATAAATGTCTCTATTTTTCACATTACATGACTGGATACTTTCTGGATATGCGTACATTTTTATATCTCTATAGGAGGGCTGTGACTCTATAGCTATTTCTTTTAATGTCTTTATCTGTTTTTGGAATCAGAGAAATACTGTCCTTAAAGAATTGAGTTTAGAAAATATCCCTTCATCTTCTGGTTTTGGAAAAATTTCATATTGAATTGATATTATGTCTTTCTCATGTTTTTGATAGAATTAATAATGAAGCTGTCTGATTCTGGGGTTTTCTTTATGGGAGGATTTTCTTAATTATGAATTTAAATAATGTAGTATATATAGGACTATTTATATTATCTACTTGTTCATGTGTCAATTTTAATATATTGTATGTCTTCCAAGATATTTATTTTATTTAAGTTTCCAAATTTATTGGCATAAAGTTGTTCATACTCTTTCCTTATCATCTTTTAAAATATCTTTGGTTTTGTACTGATGGACTCTCATTCAATCCTCACATTGATAATTTGTATTTCAGTTTCTTCTTGATAGGTCTAGCTAGAGGTTTATCAATTTTATCAATAATTTCAAAGAATACTGTTCATTTGTTTTTCAATTTCATTGTTCTCCACTCTAATCTTTGTGTTCAATTTGCCTTTTTTCTAGGTCCCTGACGCGAGAGCACAAATCATTGATATTGGATTTTTTTTATAATATAGACATGATATATTTATTTCCATGTAAGCACTGTTTTAGCTGAATTCTGTAAATTTTCATTTGTTGTAATTTACTTACTCAGTTTGAATATTTTCTCATTTTTTAAAAATTTGATTTCTTCTTTGACTTATGGGTTATTTAGAAGTAAAGTCATTTAATTTTCAGAGAGTTGGGGATTTTTTAGATGCTTTATCTTTTCTATTTCTATTTCATTCTATTGTCATCAGATAACATACTTTTTAAGATTTCTTCTTTTAAAACCTATTGAGATGTGTTTGTGACAGGACTGTTCCAGAACTAAGTTTCGATGAGGCTGGGGCACCAGCAGGGAGGAAGAAGTGGAGGTTAATATTTGGGTCTTTGTGCTGTGTTTTGGCTCTTGACCATATTGCATAATGGCCTACAGGGCAGTGTTTGTAGCCTTATGGACCTGGGTGTAACTCCAGTCCATATCATTTCTTAACTGTGTGACCTTGGGCAAGTTACTTAACCCCTGTTTCTTCATATGTCAAGTGGGAATATATAATACATTTGTGTTTTTAAGACAATGAAATTATATACATAGTATACATATACATATGTCTACATACACATTCATATACAGTGCTTAAAGTCTGTATTCAATAATATCTATTACTGTTATTATATAACATAGTATGTATATATATATGCATTGTTATATCACATAGTTTCATATATTCGTTTAAATTTTCCTGCTGACTCTGAAGTTTCAGAGATCTAGTCTTATCTTTTCCTGTATTTGCCCTGATTATCCCTGTCCCCACTCTCACCTTGTTTTCTCATTTCCCAACTTTTGGCCCTCATGCCTGTCAAAATTTAATTTAATAACCTCAAGAACTACACATTATACAATTAAGGCAGTTGCTGCTTGCTATCTTCCCCCTTTTGAGGTTCTCCATCAATCTTTACAACTAGGCTAGGATTTCTACTACTGCTCTCGAAAACTTGTACTTACTAGTTTTCCAGTTATTTGCAATGTGTGTACAAGTATGTACCTACCTCAGAAACACACTCCATATGTACTTGGATGACGGTATAATAACAGTGTTTGCAGAAGAAATGCCCTATATTTACAAGTATTTTAAGCAAAAATTGTTAGTAGAGCTTCTGGGAGGCCCAGGTAGAAGGGGCACTTTAAAAACTCGATTCAGCTCCTTTTCCACCTAGAAGAGTCCCTTTCAAAAGAACCACCAACTGGATGGTGTTTGAGGTTCTGGACTAGGCTTCATGACGCGGGAAGAAAGATGATGGGTTTGAAATCAGGTAACTCAGATGCTTACACTTGGGATTATTATGTCATAGCCTTCCTGAGCATGTTTTCCTGTGTGCATTTATCTGCTCTCCATGCTTTCCTCTTTAGGAAAGCCCACCCTACGCCCACATCCGTGTTAATTTCTCTTATGATGGGCTTTTTTACACGTCTTCCGTTTCAAGCAGCTGTCACAATTTCACTTTTTCATTTAAGCGTGTAACTATTTATTGACGTCTGCCGCCTAATGTCGCACAGCTGGGCCTGCGACGGTAAGCTCCTCCGGCGCCAGGGACCAGGAGCGTGTGACTTCATCCCTGCGCTCCCAGAGTCTAGCCAAGGGCCTGGCATTCAGGCAGTCCGCAAACCCCTGTACGACAAAGAGATAGCAGCTTGAGGCCGTCGCTGGGCTGCGGAGGGAGGCGCCTAGGGTTGCAGTTCCCACCCAGCCCAGCGATCCCCAGCCCGGGGCCGAAGCAGCGCCCTGCCCGCTGACGCCACCGAGGGTGGGACTTCCGGCCGCTGAAGTTTAACAGTCCGGGCGGGAGCCGGAAGCCCAACGCCTTAGCGGGCCGTGTTGTGGCCCCCGGTGTGCCGCGGCCGAGAGGTGAGGTTCTGCAGGGCCGGGGCTCAGTGGGCCATCGCCCACCGCGTCCTTCAACGTTCCCCAACCTCGCCCGCCCTCCGGCCACCTCTGGAGGTGGGACGGAGGTCCCGGGGCTTTGCGCGCCGGAGCTGGTCCCGCGCTCGGGACGGTTGCGGGGCAGAGGCGCGGCGGCGGGCTTGGCGCTGAAGTTCCCGGGAGCCGCGGGCCGGGGTCGCGCCCCTCGGTTTGAGACAGCCTCCTGCTCTTCCGGAGAGGTGGCGGGGTCAGCTCGGGTACGTTGGTGGCGGCTCTGGGGGGTGCGCCGCCTCCGCAAAGTTTGCAACTTACCCACAGTCTGTCCCCCTTTTTGCAAACCTCTAAACTAGGACTCATTTAATAGGCGCTTGAGTGCATTTTACAAGGTTACCCCAATTGAGCAAGCCTCCTGCAAGTAAAACGCATCTTTGGCGAATGAAAGTTGGAGAACTTTTATTGGTTTAAAGTAAGTGTTGTAGTGGAGTTGCTTCGAGTAGCTGTTGTCCTCAAATCCGGGCTAGCGGTCTCTTACTGCCTTGTGTCCTGACTGCTCCCTCTTTATGGGACTCCCTTTGAAAGGCTGATGTAATTAATGCACCTTCCTTCAGTGTGCTCAATTCTCAGAAGACGGAGGTGGATGGGCAGATGGTCCCCTACCTCGCTCAACTTTCAGAGAAGGAAACTCATCAAATGAGTTGGCCAAAGGCACTGTCACCTAAACCCTGGGACACATCGCTTGAACCCACTTTTTCTGCGCCCCGGTCGCAGGTGATCGTTCCACCACACCACTCGACAGGAATGGTGTAAGATTATAGTGACGACATCTTTCAGTTGTGTGTACTGGGTTTAGAGATCGCCCTCGCTGCACTTCATTGTTCCTTGAGGAGGGAACCAAAAGCACATGTTACTACATGTTAAGGCACCAAATCCAAACACTATGCATGCATTGCAACAGATGATTCTAATGACTTTTAGTCGCACTGTGTTTATCTGATGAATGAAGCATAGTGAATTACATAAGTGACTTCTCTTGTTAACAGAAGTTTTAACTTTTTAATAAATACATTAAGAACTTTTTCTTGGTCTCTTGAGAATCAAAGGGCTCTGTAATTTTTCATTCCTCTCACTTGTCCTTTGAGACTGGGTATACTGGACGAAAGATGTTTTGTTGATGACTTGGAACCCTGTCTATGACATCACTAAAGCTGTGCTGTCCTCTTGAACTGTCCACACTAGGAAGGCTTGGAGGATGTTTTTCTAGGTTCCCTTCTTTTCCTTTCTCCTTTCTCCCATGTATTTTTGAGCATTTTTTTTTTTTACCTGTCATGCATTACTATTTGCTGCTCTTTCAAGTGTCTGCCTAGAGCAGTTTTCTTGCTCTTTGTTTTCTAGATTGCTTTAATTTGTGAAATCACTTTGTCATCACTATGTGTTTGAACTATATACTGAAAATAAAGAATATGAGTGAGAACACTGTAGACCAAGAATTGATATAGGGACTAGTAACGTCTCTTTGGGCTGTATTTGCTGAATTTTGGAATTGTTTGGAAAAACGAGTGCCTTGGTTTGGACCTGCAGGTGTGCTACATATTATGATACATTTTAAAAAAGATCAGGAGGTTATTTAGGCAACACTTACTTATGAGTGCCTACTGTGGGCCAGGAATGTTTCAAGATTGGTAGTGAACAAGACAAAATGCCTGTCCTGAGGATCTTCGTAGTTCAGTGGGTGGGGACAGACGTTATGAGTAAAAGAAGACTTGCAGATAGGAAGCAGTGCCATGAAGAGAAATGAAATAGGATCATGAGATATGGAGCAACTGGCAAGGGGCTGCCTTGGTCATGCTCGTCAGAGGAGGAGACAGTTGAGCTGAGATTGGAATGATGCAAAGGAGATGACGGTGGGCAATCCACCGAAAGAGCATTCCAGGCAGAGGGGACAGCAAATGGAAAGCAAGAAAGAAGGCCAGTGAGCCTGGTGGCTCCAGGGAAGGAGTTGCACCCAGGCTAGGTCCTGTAGAGCACACTAAGAAGGTTGGGTTTCATTATACTTGCTGTGGAGAGCCATGGGAAGGGTCAGCTAAGAGAATGATCTGGTTCAGGTCAGGAAGGTCACCCCAGCTGCGTTGTGGTGAGCGTACTCTTGGGGACAAAAGCGGACAGCAATGCCTCTTGTTTTGGATTAGATGCTTCATTTTAACTTTTTCCCTACTTTTGTTTTTAAAAATGTTTTTAAACTATAGGTGCAATCATGCAGGAAAACCTCAGATTTGCTTCATCGGGAGATGATGTTAAAATATGGGATGCTTCATCTGTGACATTGGTGGATAAATTCAACCCACACACATCACCACATGGAATCAGCTCAATGTGTTGGAGCAGCAATAGTATCCTTTAAAAAAAATAACCACTTTTTGTTAGGTTTAACAACTAATGGAACTTTTGCATGCAACCCGTAATGAGAAATATATTTTGCATAGTTATGAAAGATGAAAAGAAACAGGAATTTACTAAATAATATATCTCATGAATACACACTACTATCTCTTGATTTCATTTTTAAAAATTTCAGTTGCAGTCCATTACACTGAAAAACACTGCTATTAATATAGATGCATATATATTAATTATTAGATCCAGACCATAGAATTAGTTTTATCTAAAATTTGCTGTTGAATCAAATGGAATAAGGTAGGTAATAGTGGGAAAAATTCTGAAAGGTTTTGGAATGAGTTTTTGCATCTACATTTAAATATGAATCTGCTCTGGAAATCCATGATAGAACTCATAGGCAGAAGCAAAGGTTGGGGGAAGAGATAAAAATTGAAATTGTCCAACATGCCCCTCTTTCTGACGTACTCTTGTCTTTCTCTTCCTTTCTGTGACAAAAATAGTCTCATTGCCCGAAGATTCAGAGAACTTACTGAATTTTCCTTAGCTTTCAATGTTTCTGATTCACATCCTCCCTGTTGTAGGAAGATCCTGTATGTGGACAAAATAAATGAGGCAGTGAAGCCTGTAAATCCGTTATTTCTCAGCCTCCCACTATTGACATTTTGGGTCGTAAAATTCTTTGCTACGTTGCTATGGGAGCGGTCCTGTGTGTTAGAGGATGTTTAGGAACCTTTCTGGCCTCTGCCTACACGTCATACGTATACACTGTTTCTTAAACAACAAATTAGGATTCAATGTGTCTGATCATATCAGTATCCAAGGATTAATATTCTGCTTCCCGATGAAAATAAAAATATCAAAGGTTTGAAATATGATGGACTTATGAACAAAACCATTAGAAGTTTTCATGCTCAACCGAATCTTGCAAATATGTAACAAAAATGATGAAATTTCTTATTGAATGAAATTCATGTCATCGTTCCTTGAATTTGTATTATAGTAGCAAATTAAATGACTTCGATGCCGTATTGATCAAACCCGTGGTGAAGTGACTGCAGTTTTGAAGTGCTCTCCAAAGAGAGTGACAAATGTGTGAGGCTGCTTCTCTGTTACCGGATTTCTATTATGTTTAGAGGTTAATTTTTCTCTGTTACTGTATAAGAGAAAAGTAGCAGTTTTTAGTAAGACTCACTATTTTTTGGTTTATTTGTAACCCAAGGAGTTTTCTTAAGAATTGGCATTTCCCGATAAACCCCTGAATGGTCTGTCAGTAAAACTGATGTGACTGTGAGGAGGTGTCATGTGACTTTCTGGGAACTGGTCTTATTTCTGTGTAGTGTTCCCGCGCTGTGGATGTGCGTTGGAAGCCTTTGTAGAATCTTATTCTGAATGAAGCTTTGATCCCTTACACAGAGGTTAGTTATTGATGAACAAAGACTTCCCAGACTCAGAAACTTGGGGCCCACTTTGCATGGATTCCAAAGATGGGGTTCATGGTGACGTGCCAGGTAGATTAGTTTCCTATTTTTTTTTTACCCTCTCACATTATTGTTTGTTTCTTTTCCTTGCTATATTAATATTAAACTTTAAATAATTTAAATTTAATTTAAAATAATGTACCCTCTCACATTATCTTTTGTTTTTTTCTTTGCTATATTAATAATATTAAACTTTAAATAATTTAAGTATAATTTAAAATAAAACTCTTATAAGTAGTTAATATGTAGCCACATTTATTTATATTTGCTATTGACTGTAGCTTTTATTTTTAATACATTTAAGATTGAAACATTCACAAAAATTCTAGTTCTGAGAAAATGTCAGATTTTATTATTTTAGTAGACAAAAATAGGAGACTAGTGTAGGTATTTGCTTGCTAGCTTAAATGGGTACCAAGCACTGCATTACTAAATAAGTATCTTGAGCAGTGTTTATTGATGAAAAGTGATTAATATATGATGATGACAATACTTTTCATCTGACTGATCATGATGATTTCATCCTTGAAGGATACAATTAGACCTTCCAGCCAGCTTTGAAAATGGAATAGCATTTCACATGGGTTAAGTAGCTCTTTTATCATCACAGTTCTTATGTTAATAGTCTAGTGCTAGAGATGCTCATGGATCATTTTATGTTCCATAACTCTTCATGTAGATAACTTTCTAGTGACAGCGTCTTCCAGTGGCGACAAAATTGTTGTTTCAAGTTGCAAATGTAAACCTGTTCCACTTTTAGAGCTTGGTGAAGGGGTAAGTGATTTAAAAAAAAAAACAACTTAAAATCTTAGCTCTACTTGGGTGGTAACTACTTATTTATTGTGGTGCTTGAAACTAAATGTAAAGGTGTTTAAAAGCATTATTCTTAACCTATGCTGAAGCTGAAAATAATACCGTAACTCTTATTATAGGTGAGATAAGTGCTGAAACATCTTTAATTAAAATAATAGTGGATCTTAGGGGAGCGGTCAAGGACTCATATTTTGTCAACGAGGCTCTTGCTTTCTCCATTTTTCCTCTGAGAGGTTCCCTGATATTGCTGCCTTTTTAAGGACCAAGTCCCACTTAAGTCATGAGGTTGAATTGACCCTAAAGTGTGATGACGTAGCCCTGCCCTCACTGATGCTGGGCTGAGGACTGCCAGCTAAAGACCTCTCTCTGTCTGATGGGAGCCTTCTGCCTGTGCTTCTGTCTGCTTGGTACTGATGGGTCTGCCTGAGCCCTGCCTGCCTCCTCCAAACTCTGGGGGGTGGGGTGGGGGGTGGTGGGGGGGGAAGATGACTGGTCCCAGAGCATTAAATGGAGCTTTCATTGCATATTGTTTTCTTATCCTTTTGTTTTTTTAAGTTAATCCCTTTAATTCAGGATATTGCTGGCTACCTCACTTCCAATCTATTGGAAGCTATTTCCAAGCTATTTCTTTTTTAAATAAAATATGATCTAAATAAAAAAGGTGCAAGTGGTTGGTAGCTTCTTCTTTTTTAAGTTTCAGATTTTCCTCGCAGACCCTAACGCATTAGGCAGGGTCCTAATTTTACACACTGGAGTAGGGGAGGAACGCAATCAGAAAGAACACAGCAGGACAGTGGCATATAAGCTCGTTTAATTTAAAAGGGACTTTTGATTTCTAAAATTCCCTAACGGTGTCCGGTGGGATTGACTCAAGCTTCAGTTGCAGCCTATATATGTTGCAGGCTGGGCCAGAGAGAATGCTGAGTAAGTAAGGGTGGAAGTGGAGTTTGGGGCTCAGTTAACTAAAACTGAGGCAGAGAGCCTTCCTGGTTTATAACAGTCAAAATGTACCTACTTCAGGAGCAGGCAAAACATGGTAGTCATGGTCTTGGATCTTTAAATCTTGTCAGAGGCGGATGACAAACATTTGTTTTATTAAATATCAACATCAAAATAATTTTGATTTCCACCTCCACCACAATATACATTATGCTAGTTTTATGCATCATGCCTTAGAGCCAGTTTGGCACCTTTTTGTTTTCATTTTTTAAAGTGTGAAAAGAGCAGATGATAATCACAAATGGGACCTGGTCCTAAGACTTCTGGGAATATTCCACATCAGCGGTTGTGGTTCTCTTTCCCACAGTTGAGAAATCACACCAGAATGCAGGGGGTGAAGGGAGGGCATTATAGTTATAGTTTGAATTGGCTTTAATTTACTTACAAAAATGTTTTGCAAGCCTTGATTCATAAGCCTTTGTTAGTAATTTCTTGTAGCGTGTTTTGAAGCCTTTGCTTTGAAGGATCGAAGTCCTTCCACTCATGTGCTATTTGAGATATTAGACCTTTTCTAGATGGGAAAATATGATTCTCACTTAAACATTTTTTGAGTAGAACTTTTAAGTTTATACTTTTTTTGTTTGATTTTGTATTTGTATTTCTTTAAGGTGGGCAGATTGGTATCAACAGTGTTACAAGGGATATGATAGGCTTCTATATAACCTAGAAATTTGACTAGCTGTTAATATTTAGATTTTAAAAACTGTACCCATTGCTTGTGTCTTGGGGTACAGGATTCCTGTCGTAACTACTGGATTTCTGTGAAGTTTGTTGGTGACATGAAAAATGTATTAAGATTAAAAAAAAAAAAACCCTATTATCAGGGTAAACCAGCTATAAATATAGCTTTTGTTCTGAGCCCTTAAGAGTGCTCTGACTTGTTTTTGACAATTAGAATCCTAACATATGGATCTGTGATAGACATCGTTCTTGTCTGTTTTGTTTACAGGTTAATTTTATAGTTGTTAGCAAACTGCCCTTCTTTGCAGTGATAATCTGATTCTAAGTCTTATCAGTCTGTTTAGACCAAAGTCAGTTCCTAGTATGGTGCCTGCAAGAGAATTGTACCTGCTATCCTGAAACATTGATGTGATGTGCTCTTTATGTTTTTATGGTGTAATTTTGACTCTTGATCAAAATTCGAGCACTGTGAGAAACCTTGAGGGTGGGCGGCCATCAGTGCCTTTTTAGGAATCCAGGGCTGTTTTCGCTATCCTGGAGGCTGGGTTTGAGGTGTGTGCGCTCCCAAGGCAGGCACAGTGATCTGGTCCCCGTCTCTCATGTCTCTGATGAACAAACGTAGGCTCGGGAAGGCGAGATGACTTGCCTAAACCTACTTAGCTTGCCTTTTAACTTTTAAGTAAGTCACAAGTATGTCCCCCTTTTTCCCATAGCATCCAACTGGGGTAGCCACACACACAGTGCACCCGAAGGTTAAATAGGAAAAAACTTGCAAGATTGTGTTCTAGCAGAGGGGCACCACCAGGTGATGACACTCAGATAACTGTTGTGAGAAAAACTTGGTAGCCTCCTGTTTTTAGCTGTTCATTTTATAAATATTTTATTGAGCATGCCTGTGGTCTTTTGCTCAAGCGGGAGTGACATGCAGGTGGAAGACAGTAAACTTGTAAAGGGAATATCCAGATTGTGATAAGTTGTTATGTAGAAAATTAAAATAAGATATAGGGATAGCAAGTTACGTTGGGTGGCCAAGGGAGGTCTGCTGAAGAGGCGGCATTTAAGGTATTGTCTGTGGCCAGAAGAAGCCCTTCAGCCAAGGTTCAGGGAATTCAGGTTTCAAGACATGAGCAGCTGTTGTAGAAGCCTAGGGGCAAGTATGGAGTTGTTAGGTTTAAGGGGTGCAGGAAGGTCGTTGTGGCTGGAGCATGCGTGGTGAGGAGGAGTGGTGGGGGGTTGGGAAGGGGCCCAGATGCAGAGGGCTTTGATAGCTAGGTTGATGAGTCTGGAATTTATTCTGGGGTTGACTAGGAGCCTTTGAAGACTTTTAAACGGGAGGGGCATGATCAGATCTAATTTGTAAAGGTCACCCGGCTTAAGAGAATGGAGAGAAGCAGGGGTGGGAGCAGGACACCTGGCTAGGAGGCTGCTCTTGTGGCTCTGCAGGGTTGGGATTAGGGTGTGGGCTGTAGAGGCAGATAAATGGGGGCACGTGGGATTTGTTTTAGTGTTGGAGTTCAGAGAAGTTATGGTAGATTGGGGTGGGGAGAAGGAAGAATCAAAGACAGTTCTGGAATTTCATCTTGAGACACTAGATGGATGCATCTGTTCTCACAGACACGGGGAAGACAGCAGAGTCAGGCTCCCTGACTGGATGTTTGAGAACGGGGTTTCTTAGGAGGAGATTTGTCGTGAGACTTTGGGCAAGTGTCCTGTTCTCTTGATGAAACTTCCCCCTTCTGTAAACTGAGGGATTACACATCCTTTAAAGTCTCCTCTACCTTTAGTGTTTTTTGAGCTCTGGGTTGGTTGTTATCCTGTGGAAACGTAAGAGCATGCTTTATTAGGGGGAGATGCAAAGGGCAAGTAAGCCATGGTGGGAGGCCAAGACTTGCTGATACTCCCTCGGCTTCCCCTGCCTCCCCTGCTGTGTGGAAGAGAGCAGGGGTCTGGGTGGTGTTCTTGAAGCCTTTTTGAGCCCTTACCAGCTGCTGGCTCCATATGGAAGATGATTAGAGGGGAATCATTAGTATTAGCATGTTGACAGCATTTAAGTCAAGTGCTTACTAAGTATTGCATAAGACTTGAAAGTCATCTCTGGGCTCTGTTAAATTAATTTTTTTTCCTTTAATAGCAAAAGCAGACATGTGTCAGTTTAAATTCCACATCTATGTATTTGGTCAGCGGAGGCCTGAATAACACTGTTAACATTTGGGATTTAAAATCAAAAAGAGTTCATCGATCTCTTAAGGTAAGCAACTTGGGTTTTGTTTTTGTTTTTTTTTTTTTTAATCCTTACAGAAATGGTATCTCACAGTGTGTTAGTTATCAGACTTTTCATGTTGATGTTTTGTGATAAAAATAAGATGTTTCAGAATTGAAGTGAGATTTGTTAGGGAAAATAAAGATGTTGTTTAGCCAAAAGCTTACTTTTGTCTGTTTTTTTCCTCCATATATGTCACTAAGGCATAATATTGGTGTTTAAAATGTTTCATTTTTTCACTTCGTTCTAGTCTTGTTTAAATGAACCACTTCCTTCACATTTTGTGAAGAGTGCTCTGTTGTCATCAGAGATCTGTTTTTAAGGCACCTTGGAAAAAGCATGGGGTGGGGATGACAGCGGTCTGGTCTCTGTCTGGTTGTTAGGGTTGGAGAATCAGCTTTTTCTTTAGTTACTTGGCTGCTCCTGTTTGTGTTCCCTTTTCTGTGTTCCTGCTAGGTGTCTCTCATCAGATGGTGGAAAGCATGGTCCTTACGAACTCACTTTCTTTAAGACCGTTTTATTTCCTTCATGAGGATTCCCGTTTGCATTTGGGAGACAACCCAATGTAGAGGAAGGCAAATAGCTTTGGAGTTCGTCCTGGAATTGAATCCTGGCTCTTCCACTTAGCAGTTGTGCGAGCTTGCACAGGTTTCCTACCTTTTCTGTGCCTCATTTAGTTAACTCCTCTGTGAAACAGGAAAAATGACATTGTCTCCAAGATTGTTTTAAGGATTAATAATAATATATAAAGCTCTCAGCATTAGTAGGTACTCGGCAAACAGAAGCGGCTGCTGTCATCTTTGAAACATACTTGCTCATTCTGGCTTTGGGGCATTTGTTTTTTGCTCTTTTCCATTTTGCAGTGCCTGGTTTCTTTCTCTTTTTAAAAATATTTCATTGATTGTGCTGTTATAGTGGTCCTTATATTTCCCCTTTTGCCCCTCCCACCCAGCACCCCCTACTCCCCTCAGGCAGCAACCCCCAGTCCCCCGCCTTGGTTCATGTCTAAGGATCATGCATGTAAGTTCTTTGGCTACTCCATTGCCTATATTGTATTTTACATCCCCATGGCTCTTCTGTGACTACCAACTTGTACTTCTCTTTATTTTTTGTTCAAGTACAGTTGTCTCCATTTCCCCACCACCACTGCCCCTCACCCCACACATTCCAGCCTCCCACCTGTGATCCTGCCCCCCTTGGCTTTGTCCGTGTGTCCTTTACATATGTTTGTTGAAGACCCTTCCCCTATTTTCCCTGCCTGTCCCCCCCACCATCTAGTTACTGTCAGTTCTTTATTTCAATGTCTCTGTTTATACTTTGCTTGCTTGTTTGTTTTGTTGATTAGGTTCCACTTATAGGTGAGATCTTATGGTATTTTTCTTTTACCACCTGGCTTATTTCACTTAGCATAATGCTCTCCAGTTCCATCTATGCTGTAATGAAGAGTAGGAGCTCCTTTGTTTTTGCTGTGTAGTTTTCCATTGTGTAAATGTACCATAGTTTTTGATCCACTCATTTACTGATGGGCACTTAGGTTGCTTCCAGCACTTGGCTATAGTAAATTGTGGTGCTATGAACATTGGGGAGCATAGGTCCTTTTGGATTGATGTTTCAAGATTCTTAGGGTATAATCCAGCAGTGGAATTGCTGGGTCAAAAGGCAGTTCCATTTTTAGTTTTCTGAGGAAATTCCATACTGTTTTCCATAGTGGCTGCACCAGTTTGCATTCCCACCAACTGTGCACTAGGGTTCCCTTTTCTGCACATCCTCTTTAACACTTGTTTGTTGATTTGTTTATGATGGCCGTTCTGACTGGTGTAAAGTGGTATCTCATTGTGGTTTTAACTTGCATCCCTCTGAATGCTGGTGACGCTGAGCATCCTTTCATATGTGTCTGGAACCTCTGTATGTCCTCTTTGGAGAAATGTCTGTTCAGGTCCTTTGCCCATTTTTTCACTGGGTTGTCTTCATGGAGTCGAGTCATGTGGGTTCTTTATCTGTTTGGGAGATCACACCCTTGTCGGAGGTATCATTTGCAAATATATTTTCCCATACGGTTGGTTCCCTTTTCATTTTGTTGATGTTTTCTTTAGCCCTGCAGAAGCTTTTATACTTCTTAATCCCCTCACCTCTCCACCCATTCTCCAAGTCCCCTTCCCATCTGGTAACCATCAAAACGCTCGCCCTATCCATGATTCTATCTCTGGTTTCTTCCCCCTTCCCCGAATTTAGATCTAATCCTTTCTTTAACGTTGAACTTCCATTAAGCTTCCTCTGTCACATCAGTTCACATGCCTCCTTCTCTTTCCCCTTGACACTTTGTCTCTGCCACACACTTAGCTGTTCGTGCTGCCATTTTCATGTTGATGCAAATGTCCTATCTTCCCCCACGGAACAGTGCTGCTCTCCTGGGCAGGACCCGTCCCAACAGTCCACTCGGGGTACATGCTACCTGACAGTGGAAGCGCGTTCTTTAAGGTAGACACACCACCATTTAGAGAATTACCTTTCCTTTCTGTGTCTCGTTTCAGAGTACCTGCTCATTATTATGGCTATGAAAAGTAAACCTCCGTTTCCTGAGAAGACTTGGGGTTGATCAGATAGTTTCCTACCGATATGAGTAATACTTGTAGGTTATTTGAGGAAAATGTTAAAGCAAATATTAGATTAATAAGTAGATAATATTTATAAAACATGGAATTTACGAAAATATGGGAAAGTGTGCCTTTTGAAGGTTTTACGGCACTGTACTTACTTTCATTTTTTTCTTTCAGGATCATAAGGATGAAGTAACGTGTGTAACATATAATTGGAATGATTGCTACATTGCTTCTGGATCTCTCAGTAGTGAAATTATTTTGCACAGTGTAACCACTAATTTATCTAGTACTCCTTTTAGTCATGGTAGTAACCAGGTACAGTATGGGTTTATTCAAAATAAAATTGGGCACTAGTTAGTGTGGCTCAGTTGGTTGGAGTGTCGTCCCATAGACTGAATAGACTGAAAGGTTGTGAGTGCGATTCCAGGTCAGGGCACATACCTAGGTTGTGGGTTAGGGCCCTGTCAGGGCACGTGTGATAGGCATCCAGTTTTGATGTTTCTCACATCGATGTTTCTCTCCCTCCCTTCCCCACTCTCTAAAATCAATGAGCATGCCCCGGGGTGAAGACAGACATAAAAATAAAGTTGGCAAGATAAATTTTGAACTCTTACATAGAAGAATGGGTTTAAAAGTTTTAAAAATCAGTATTTTAAATTTATTTTTTGCTTGCTTGAAAAACTTACAGCTTGCTGTTATTTAATGGTAGTATTTAAAAATGCTCAAATAACAAGCCAATTCATACTAGATCGAGTGTGCTTACTTCATTGGGTTAGCTAGGCCATTGAATATAACATGCTCCTAGGTGGTAACTATGTATAACAAAATACAAATAGTGTTACTAGGTGAAGCCCACAACATGGATATTAATGTTTCTGTGACATTACATTTATAGCAGTGTTGCATGGCTCGAACTGTGTTAGCAACAAGACAGATACTCAAGTTAAAAAATACTCTGGTGGACATGTGATAATTGAGTGTGTTTAGGCACAGGGTAAATGGAGTTTTGTTTTTTGTTTCTTTACATATATGATAATACCATATATGATAATCAAAGCTCATTCATGTATTTCAGGTTAATACAGAAGTATGTGGGGAAACTTTAAAGGAAAATTAGCTACATTTTTTTCTTTATAAAAATTAGTCTATGAAATTCTTAAAAGAATACATTTAGTTTCTCAAGAAATCTAATTTTTGGCTAACTTCCATGAAATTCTCCACAGAAATTTCCAGTGAGGTACAGCTTCTTTGATCTTTCCTTATTATAATCACTCTGGCCATAATTATTGCTAGATAAAAGATGAGAGCACCTCACTTTTGAAAAGCAATTTTTAAAATCATTATTTAATAGTATATATTGTGTTTAACAAATTTAATGGATATTGAAAATGTATAGAAAAAATATCTTTGCTCAAGGTCCTATGTATTGGGGAATAAATAAAAGAGATGTGCATATAAATGAGAATATGGGTGATTGATATAAAACAACCTTATGGTGATTCAGAACAGTGAGAGAAAGTTATCTGATTGGGAATAAAATAAGGGGAATTAAAGAAGGGGGCATTTCAGCCAGGTATAAGGCCTAATTGATGTGTGTTTTATTTTTACTGCAGTGTAAACAGGCCTCTTTGCCAGTCACTTGATTCTGACTTGTACTGGGGTTAACTCTTGCATGTCCACACTCTAGTTGGAACTGAGTATTGTTTTCTTTGTCCTCAGTGGTTGTCCAGTTTTGTGCCTCATGCGGAAAAGATCCTCACGTGAATGCCTGAATATGTTTAGAGATTACAGACATTCTTATAGGCTAATGCAGAACTTTGGGAGAGGGATATTTTATATGGAGGAAATCACATGGTGATTTATATATGGCCAATGCGAGAAAAGATTGGAAAGGTACACCTGAACGTAGTGTTGGTGTGTGGGACTTTGAATACTGCACCATTAAAAATAATTTTAAGATTTCAAATATATTACATATTTATTTCTTTTTTTAAGATTTAATTAATTAATTTTTTAGAGAGGGGAAGGTAGGGAGAAAGAGAGGAAGAGAAACATCAATGCGTGGTTGCCTCTCGCACGCCCCCTACTGGGGACCTGGCCCACAACCCAGGCATGTGCCCTAGAGTGGGAATCGAACCAGTGACCTTTGATTTGCAGGCTGGCACTCAAGTCACTGAGTCACACCAGCCATGGTTAAATATTGATTTCTTAAATTTAAATAACTTTCATAAAAATTTCAGGTCTGTTCAAAAATTGACATAATTCAAATACACCATTAATCAACTCAATTTCTCTGTTGTTTAGTTTTACCATAGATAGTGTGTTACTGAAAAGAAACTAGGGTAGGTAGGGCACATGTAACGATTAAATTAAAAAATTTCTGTTTCTGTTTATATGAACAACCAATTTGAAATCTTTTAAAATTATCAAATTGATTTCTTAGCAAAAATGAGAAAAATAATGAAGTTTTACTGAATCTGCATTTCACTGAAGTGTGTATTGGAAATGAGATTGCCTGAGTATATTTAGAATCTCACTTTGAAGTGTATGAGCTGAACTGAAGCTGGTAGTTTCATGTGCATCGCAGGGCATTTCTGCCGGGGAAAGAGCCGCACCGCCTCTGCAGAGCTGCCAGGGCTGATGACAGACCTCTTAGATTGTAATTGCCTGTCGCTGTTTGGCAAGTTCAGCAACTTACGTGCACAAATAGGGTAACCTGTGTTGCCTTTTCAGATTGTGGCCTTATTTCAAGCTGTTGAAAAATGGATCTGTTTTATTGATTATGTAGATTTAAAAAATATCCTTTAACATGTTAAAACAGTTTTTCTCTAGGTTGTGGGATTATGGATGGGTTTTTTGTTTGTTTTTGTTTTTTGTTTTGTTTTGTTTTACTCTTTCAAATATTTATAGTAGGGATGAGCAAACTATGACCCATGGGATGGCTTTATTTTTGTAAATAAAGTTTTATTGAAACACAGCCATGCTCATTTATATATTGTTTATAAATGTTTTTGCATTACAACAGTGTGAAATATGTACTGTCTGTCCCTTTAAGAAAAATTTTGCCAACCCCAAATCACAGTAAGTGATGTATTTTTTATATTTAGAAACAACCGCTGCCTTCTGCAAGCACGCACATTCTTACATAATGAATTGTAAGAAAAAATAACATTGCTGCTTAAAATATTAGGATTTTCATAAGCTTCTTGGCAATATTTTTCTTGGAAATAGCTTGCATATGGAACAAGATAAAGGCTTAGTAAGCACTGCTGATACTAAAATTAATGAATACTTATTTTAAATATAATTTAGTAGATTAATACTTTGTTTATCCAGGGTTATTTAGTATTCTCTTAATGATATTCTAAAGAGATGATGATTTATTGGACGTAGAAAGTTCAGAAATGAATATCTGTTATCAGAGAGATCCAGGGGAGGCATTTAAAGGAATCGGTGTGGTTGCTTAAGGGTCTTCTAAGACAGGTGTGTGACAGATGATTATCTGGTTACGTGGACAGCAATGAACACGGGAGTCACGGGCCTGTGAGAACAGTTGGGATCCGTATTGTGTACCTGGGTCCGGGCAGAAATGCTACTTAATCCTCAAAATAACCTTTAGAGGCAAGTGAGTGTTTTCTGTTTCGTAGATGAAAACACTGAGGCTTGGAGATGCAGTGATTTATCCAAATCATAGGGTGTTTGGACGAACTTCCACTTGAACCCAGGTTAATCTGAGGACGAGATTTATGGTTATCTCTAGTCTTTTTTTTTTAATAGGTTGCCATATAAGTCCACAGAATTTGAAGCAATATGTGGAATTTAGGTTTTGACTTAATCAAGAACTGTGTTTTTTAACTATTCCTAAAGTTTTATTTTGTAAAAGCAGTAATTTCCCTGAGCCTTGTATATGTAGGCAGATAATGGATGAGCATATCTTAAGGATATTTTAGCAAATTGATGCTGTGGCTAAGAGATTGAACATGAGCTTTAAAAATCTATTGAAGTCTTTTTTTTGTGTGTGTGGTGTAGTTTTGTGTTTGGGGGTTTTATTAAGTTTTTCCTGTACATTTAATTCAAATTCATTGTTTTGCCTTGTGTTTTGATAGGTTGATATATGACTATACACATTATAATTCACCAAGAGCTCTGTGTCTTTCATACTTAAGGTCCATGTAGTTTATTTTTTCTTGAGTGTGGACCAGAGGAAAGATTTGTCCATTCATATGGGTATACTTTTCCTCAACAGAGATGGAAAATATATACCAACATTTTCTCTTTGTACTTTAGCCGTATGAAAATGAGCCAAATTTAGTAGGTAACCATAGTAATTACCGTATCTTACCCTGTGTGTCTGGTAACAAGTACTCCTTTTTGTTTCCTTAGATAGATTTTATTTTATGTTTTTCCTAAATGTTTTTGTTGTTGTTGAGGGCTAATACATATTATCTTGAAACATTTTAGAAGTAAGTAGAGTATGACTTTTAATATCTAAAATCCAGTGGTTTCAAATCCTTTTGGAGTTTGAAAGATTAAAGTAGATGGAGCAAACAGTAACTCAGTTTTGACTTTTGTTCTGTGCCAGTTTGATCTGGGGTAACGTGTAAAGCTTACACCTGCCTACAGAACTTGCTCGCTGCTTGACTCAGGACTTTCTGGAGGTGTCTTACAACCAGTTTCCCCCTCTGGTGGCTTGTACTTAATTTCTACACTTACATTGCTGTTCCTTCACAGGGAAAAATTAGCTTAAATATAAAATACTTAATTCTTTTTTTAAATTTTTTTTATTTTTAAGTGTATACTTTTTTTAACATTTTTTAAGATTTTATTTATTTATTTTTAGAGAGAGAAGGGAGGGAGAGGGGGAGAGAGAGAGAGAGAGAGAGAGAGAGAGAGGGGGAGAGAGGGAGAGAGAGGGAGAGGGAGAGGGGGGGGGAGAGAGGGGAGAGAGGGAGAGGGAGAGGGAGAGAGAGAGGGAGAGAGAGAGGGAGAGAGAGAAAGAAACATCAATGTGCGGTTGCTGGGGGTTATGGCCTGCAACCCAGGCAGGTACCCTGGCTGGGAATCGAACCTGGGATACTTTGATTCCTAGCCCGTGCTCAATCCACTGAGCTATGACAGCCGGGCGTAAAATACTTAATTCTTAGCACAGTAAATATGAGTGTAAGTTTGAAAGCAACATTTCAGTAAAAGTAGATAAAATTCAATTAGTGTCAATCCAGGACCTGTTTACTCACACTGGATTTTGATTTGGTTCAGCTGGATCAAACTCTAGAAAGAGAATGAGGTATTTCTACTGCCCGAGGGGACAGGTGGTTAAAAGCTCGCCTTGCCCTCGGGCTGATGCTTTTGAAGCATGGGTATATCCATCCCCAGTCTGGAGTATTGACAGTTCCTCCAGTTCCTCCTGTGGGGTTTAGTGAATTTTTTATTATGCTTCAGGTGTTGGATTGCCAGCACAGCCGATGCTCAGATTCAAATATACAGAATGTATATAAAATGCAGATACTGCTTTTTTTGTACTTATTTGTGTTTTGGTTGTGACTGGGCCTTTTATTTGTGGGGGATGTTCTAACCTTGATGAAGCGATGTCATTAATCTCCTTGTATTATGTTTTTCCTCTGGAAAAAGAGAGGAGATGGAGGTAGCTTTACTCCAACTTAGTAAAATCATGACAGACATTCAATGGCTAGAATATTGGTATGTCTTAGGGTCATCTTATATAGCCCAGTAAATGATTTTATGGTGTCATGATTGAAACCTGTTCCCCTATAAACAGAGAAGTCCTGGATCCGGTGTGAATGTTGTGTTTGTGGTTGGTCATCATTTATAGAGTTTAAATAAAATGTTTTTATGAATGCTTGCAATTACATAAAATTGATTCTTATTTTTATAGCCTATTCGGCACTTGAAGTACTCCTTATTTAAGAAATCGCTACTGGGAAGTGTTTCGGATAATGGAGTAGTAACTCTCTGGGATGTGAATAATCAGAGTCCCTACCATAACTTCGACGGTACACATAAAGCTCCAGCCTCCGGCATCTGCTTTTCTCCGGTCAATGAATTGTTGTTTGTAACCGTAGGCTTGGATAAAAGAATCATTCTCTATGACACTTCAAGTAAGAAGTAAGTGTGACATTTCTTAACTTGGTAACAATTAATTATCTCATTAGCAGATGTATTTGTGATTTGTATAGACCTCTGATTAATGATCAGGAGCTCTAAAATTTGTGTACTTGATGTCTGGTGAAGTAGATTTTTCTCTTTTTCTCCCCTTGCAGAAGGAAATAGATGAGGCGTGGGTAGTCTTTAGAGTACTTCTGGACCATGAACGTTGAAGGGTAGCCTGTTAATTATTTCACATTTTTATTTTAGCACTCATGCATATTATTCTTTTTCAAAATACGACTAAATGGGTACCTTTTTAAAGCATTATGGTTAATTTGCTGTACAATTAATTCCGTATCTAAAGCAGGATGTCTAAATTATTGATACTAACATTTTGGGCTGGATAATTCCTGGTTGTGAAGGGCTGTCCTGGGCGCTGAGGGATGTTCAGCAGCATCCCTGGCCTCTACCCCACGAGATGCCTGTAGCACGTGCCCTGTTGTGACATCCTAACCCCCTCCAGTTGAGAACCGCTGATCTAGAGCTAAAGGGCCCATAATCTAAGTTTCTGGGTCGACTGTCTACTTTGGGCTATAAGGATTCTTGGTTAGCTTTAAAAAAAAAAAAAGCTGCAAGAATGCTGTAGGTGTATTTTAGATACCAAACAATATCTAAAGATCCTGTAGCCCTTATTAAAGTGTACTATTACTTATGTCACATTCTTTTTTTACTTTTTTTTACTCTTTTTTTGAACTAAGAGAACTGAGTCGGTAAGCCGTTTCTTTCGTATACCAGACACTCCAACAAAGAGCTCAGCTTTGGCAGATCAGTATTCATACTTCGATATCCGCCAAGGATCACGCCACATGGGTTCTGTTAGCCGTTCGGTCAGGAGATGCACAGCTAAGAGCAGAGTACCAGCTGCTCCCCTGTGGAAGGTCGTGCACCGTCCTCTTGAGGCTTAAGCAGGTCAATAAATGGAAAGGGGATCCTGGGAGCCTCCTTAATTCTGTGGCTAGAGTCCTTTTTTTGTTGAGCAGCACCCAGGAATTCTGTCACACTCATTGCAGTAATTCCTCAAAGAATTAGGGACCACTTCTAGAAGATGTAAGGTGTACCTATTAGGAGGGAATAGAAAAGTAGGATTGAGTGTTCAGTTCCTTTAAATGCCATTGCACTGGAAACATCTCAAAGCCCGTAATTCTCAATTTCTGCTGTATGTAGATATTTGGGATGTGTATGTTGTTTGCCAAATTCTAAGCAAGTTTGGTTTTGGCCTACAGTTATTCGTGTGTCACAAGAGCTTGTGTACCTGTGCACGCTCATGCACTTGTCCTCCTTTCTTTCCAAAGGCTCGTGAAAACCCTAGTAGCTGACGCTCCTCTGACGGCAGTAGATTTCACGCCGGATGGAGCCACTCTGGCCATTGGATCCTCCCGCGGGAAGATCTATCAGTACGATTTAAGGATGTTGAAATCACCCGCTAAAACCATCAGTGCTCACAAGACATCTGTGCAATGTATAATATTTCAGTACTCCACTGCTCTTTCTAAGGTAAAATATTTTCTCTTTGAATTTTTGATTTTACTGAATAAATCTAGCTCAGAATATGGAAATTTTATGTTGTCAATCAAACACGGTGCAGTTTTGCTTCATAATCATTTTTATATTAAAGTATTTAATATAATTTTAATACAGAGTCATTTGATACTTGGTTTTAAAACTATTAATTTCACACTTAATTCTCATGTTTCCCTCTTCATATTTTAAAAGGCTTTTGTGTTCAGAGGGAAACTTGCAGATTCATCAGCAAGCTTAAAATTTGTAAGGAAAAACATATACATATTTTTAATCTAATAGGGAATTGATAAAATATTAATAAGAGTAGAAAGCATTAGAAACCTGACCTTTTCAATATTCCATTACATTTTAGTCAGGTTTAAGTAAGGGCTGTTCAAATAAGCCCTCGGCTGTGAACAAGCGGACCGTGCCCGTGAGCGCTGCCAGCAGTGGGGTGCAGAGTTCTGGAGGTGCCAGAGAAGCCGCTTCCGTTGCCGCGGTGCTGCCGCAGCCCATGACAACCGCTGCGGGGAAAGCAGCCGGCGCTGCCCAGGAGAGAGCCGGTGAGTGCTGCCGACGTGTAGTGGCTGGAGCGCGCCCCGAACCCCGATGTGTATGGTTACACATTCTTCAGGAACCTGGAACTCACGTTCACTTGAGTATTTAGGTAGAAGTATTAGTAGATACCACTGAAGAAGTGAAAATTTTAACTTTAGCTGTATATTTCTTAAAAAAGTAATGGAAAACAGTCTATTTAGCTGAACTTCTGTTTTAAAAAGTATCTTAAAAAATGGAATAATGTCAACTCAGAAATTTTTCATTCTTAATACTCCCAGACTGGATGACTTTCCATTGTGTCTTCAGATTAACCAGTACGGAATGAAACTTGGATGATGTCATGATATTATTTTTTTTGAAAGCTATTAATGGCTCCTTTTATGTCATATTTCAGAATAAAAAATAAGTCAAGTGATGAAATGAATGTGTTTAAGTATTAAATAGTGCCCAGCACATATTAAGCAGCGTACTAGTTTGTTAAATAAAAATAAATGAAAATTTTGCAATTGTAAATAAGTTTTTCTACTCTATAATCATATTGATGAAACATTTCTTAAAGAAGAATTCATTTAGACATTGTGAAGGTATAACATGATGATGACCTTCCCCATGCTTACTGTAGAATACATTCTCTGCCTGCAATAGAGAACGTATTTCCTGAGTTCCTGAAAACCTTCTGGTTTTTATTTTGAGAAATATGCTGAAGTGTCCACTTGCAACAGATAATTTTAAAAGTCTATGTGGTGTATATGCCAGTATGTTTTCAAAATATTCTCATTAGAAATGGAGGTATGCATCCATGTCTTTTAATTTTTAGGACAAGTACTTTGACTTGGACAAATATATTTGTTGGTGCCTTTTCAATCTGAATTTACTGTTTCCAAGTATTAGCAAAACTTTAATTTGTGTTCATAGTGTGGAATAGTTGTTTTTAAAGGTAGTAAGTATAAATTTTCTGTGAATAACTACATCATACTTACATAAATATTATATATATTATGTAGAAAAATAATTAGGTCTTTATTTAAAAACTCCTAGAAATAAATGCTATTGCTATCTACTTAAGAGAAGAAATTCTTTTTGAAAATAACTTTGAGTAACGTTTGCCAAAAATGTTGAAATAACTATGTGAAAATTGCCATTATTTTCAAAATTTATTTTATTATTGATTTTATGCATAATTTTGAAAAATTAAACAAAATGAGATTTTCTCATTTCCTATAAATTTTCTGAAGCTGGTTTATTCATTTAGTTTTTAATGAGAAGGCTCGTGTGTAACGACGACAGCATTAATTAGGCAATGAAAGACCTGGGCCTTCAGGGTCACTGATTAACAACACCACCGATTAGCAAAGTTTCTGGTAAAACGGAAGTTTGCTCTGCACCTATATTTAGAAATTTTGTTTGTTTTATTTGAAATGATGGCAAGCTTACAGAAAAGTTTCAATAATATTACAAAGAACTCCTGAGCTCCACTGTGTAGAAGATTGACCATTTTATAAGTTTGCCATATTTGCTGCCAGATTTTCTCTCTCTCAGATACACACACACACACACACACACACACACACACACACACACACACACACTTTCCCCCCCTCAGAAACACCGAGAGTGTATTAGGTTTAAGTCTCAGGTCTATCACTTCTTACCAGGATGACTTTGTCTCTTTTTTCTCTTCCACAGGTAATACTTAACTTTTAGGGTTATTGTGAAATCAGAGAAAATGTACCAAGGGTGCCTGCTACATGGTGGGCACTCAGTAATTATGGTGTGACTAATAATACTGTCACCACAGTCATCATCATTACTATTATTATTTTAAGCTACTTGTAAGATAAATCCAAAGTTTGGGGAAAAAAGTTCATGCTGCTCCCACTGGAGGGGTCTGACTTAGTTATGGAAAACAACCTCTGCAGACTTGTTGCCAGTGTTTATTTTCAGTAGGAAACAGCCTGCCCCTTTATTGGTGACTACTGTGCTGTTCTCTCTGAATTTGGTATTCTGCTTTCTTTCCTCTTCTTCAACTATTGTGACATTAGTGAAGTCATCTGAGGTTGAAAATGCTGAGGGCAAAGTGAACAGCTCCTGCTGCCAGTGAAGGGAAGACAGAAGAGGGAGAAACACCCACCCACTGCAAGCTGGGGAAAGGCTGACGTAACTTGAGTCCTGCTCTGTTGGGCATTGTGCTCCCTGGGCCTTACAGACTTTTTTATGACTGCCATTTGTAGATAATCCTACGAGCGAGTCCGTCAGTAACAAAACCATGTTCAGAATATTTTGTTTAAGACGAAAGCAAAGTATTTACATTATTTTAGGAAAATTCCAATCAAAATGGCTACAATAAGGTGGTGTTGTATCAGTAAATAAGTTATTTGATTTTGGGGTAGCACTTTATCCCATGAAAATGATGGTTTCCTGAGCTGTTATTAAGTTCTGCTCTTTCCCCTAACACTCACAGTTGTACTGTTACCAGTAATATGGTAATACATTTTTATCTGCTTATTGACAAAATCATATATTTATCCTGTTTAAATTATTTTTTAAATTAAATTTACTGGGCTGACATTGCTTAGTAAGATTATATGGTTTCAAGTGCACAGTATTACGATGCATCATCTGTATGTTGCATTGTGTGTTAACCACACAAAGTTGTATCTTCCTCTGTCACCGGGTATTTGAGTGGCTTTGCCCTTGACTGCCCTACCCCCTCCTCCAGCCCCTTCCCTCTGGTAGCCACTGTACTGTTGTCTGTGCCTCTGAGTTTTTATTTCTTTGTTCATTTGTTGCTTTCAGTTTTATATTTTTAAAACCTAGTTTCTGCTGATAAATTTATTTAGGTATAATAAGACATTTTTATTTCTAATTCCTATAAGGTTTGCCTCGAAGCATCAACACAGACAGTGGAAAAAGCCAAGATTGCTCCAGTTTTGACGACAGTAGAGCAAGTAGTTTGGGTGACATGTTCTCACCTATCAGAGACGGTAAGTTTCTTCAGATTGCAGGATCGCCTTCTCTTGCTGGTAGTCACTACGTCTTTATTCTGACTGAAAGCTGTGGGTAATAGCCACAGTTTAACTGTGGTCATGATAGTTTGCCGATTTTCTCAATCCCTCATATTTTAAATGTTGTCACTCCAGAATAGATGCTGGTAATTTTCACATTGGAAGTTTGCAAAAAGCTTCCAAGTTAGCACTTTAATTTCCACAGAAATTTTTCAAGGGCAGTTTGGTCTCCATAAGCAATCTTGTATTTACTTTTAAGTAAATCTGTAAAATCTGGGATATTGATAGGTAAAAGGTATCTTTCTAACTAAAAAAAATTGCTTCTGTAATTATTAGTATTTAATTGGTATTTATTATATGTTTTCATGGAGAAATACGGCTGGGCGATACTTTGCCTCATCTTTTATACCAGGGGTGTCAAACTCATTTTCACCGGGGGCCACATGAGCCTCGTGGTTGCCTTCAAAGGGCTGAAATAATTTTAGGGCTGTGTAAATGTAATTACTCCTTAACTGTGAAGGAATTGAAATTAATTAAAAGAATTTTACTCCTTAATTGTTAAGGAATTGAAATTAATTAAAAGAATTTATCCACAAAATTTACCCACAAAGATTTGCATGTTTACTGTTCATATATAATAGTTAAAAACTGGAGTGAACTTAAATGTCAGCGGTAGCAGGACATTTAAATTGTTACATGTGTTTATGATCTTCTATAATTTTTTAATTTCAAAATTGTCTATTTTCCAAATTTTCTGCAATCAATTTCATAATCAGAAAGAATTGATACAAATATGATTGTATGGAATTATTGTCTTCTGCCTGCAAATATTTCAATTGCAGGTCAGATTCTTTTATCTTCCTTCCACCTAATGAAAGAGGGAAGGATCCCTTTCTTTCAAGATGAAGAGAGGTCAGACCCGCATCAAGAGTAGAGAGGATGCAGATGAAGGAAGGGAAGGGGCTTGGGCTGGAGCGGAGAACAGGTTCTGAAGTCATGAGAACCCTTGCTAGTCAACTCTGGAATTGAAGAATGTAGGACGGGGCTTTTGGGGGGTTTTGAGTTATAAATGAAATCCTCTCTCATGGTTTTCTAGAGAAATGAATAAAGCGTAGAAATTCCTCTTTAATTACTTTAGCTAGCTTTAAAAATATGATTAGCCATATGCCCTTCATTTCTTAGAGCTTTATGTTATTAATGAGAAGAAAACGTGGATACTAAATATAGTACTGGTTTCGTTGTCAGGAGATTTGTGTTTTAATCTCCAGGACGCAGCTCTACTAGTAAAAGGCTTAATCTGTTTTGCCTCAGTTTCGTCACCTTTTAAATTAGAGCACTTCTGCTTTTGTTAGGGGAGAACAGGAGAACTACTAACTTCTGAAAGTGTATGTGTTGTGTGCAGTTACTGCACACACCCGCAGGTACATGGTTGGATGGATGATAGTCCACTAATATGGTTATGTGTGATAATCACTTTATTGGCCATTTGAATTTCTGGGGAATTTGACCATTTTTCTATTAATCCATTAAGCAATTTTGGGTTGTTAATTAGTAAATTAATAATACTGCAGTACTGAAATTTCTGCCATTGAAATTTCAATATTAATAAGTTCAATGTCAAATAAGACCTTATGTTTTTATAGCATTGTATTGCTTACAAAATATTTTTACGTTATGTAGGTTGATTCTCTAAACAATCTTGTGAGATGGTCAGGGCATTGTGCCCCTTACGTAGATGCAGAAACTGAAGCTCAGTTGTGGTGAAGGTTTGTCCAAGGCCACGAAGCGATTAAGTGGTATAGGCAGAACTGAATGCAGAGCTCTGGACCTAACTGTGCTGTTTTTTCTAGTATACTTTGGTGTCTCATTAAATGACTGTAGAGTAGAATTATCTTCTCTTATTTACTGCTATGCATGAAGCTAAAAGATGAAAAGGGAAGTTTATGTGAGTGCTAGCTTTTAACTTCACTCAGATTTTTCTTCATAAAATCATTAGTCTCTGAACTCTTCCAGGGATGAATAGGAAGTCTAAATTGCTGTGGTGTCTTTCTCACTATCTTTTAAACCTGATTTTCTCATTTTGTTTGTAGATGCTGTGGTGAACAAGGGAGGCGATGAGTCTGTGGGTAAAGGAGATGGTAAGAACTGTTGAGAAGTCTTTTTATGAAAATTGTAAGTGAATTGTGTTATCGATGGCTGTGTAAAAGTTACCCCAACATTTTGAATTTTAAAAGAGCGTTTATCGTCGTAACTGTGGGTTAAGGATCTGAGCAGAGCTTAGCTCAGTGCCTTTGGCCTTCGGTCTCTCTTGGCGCTTTAATCAGGGCATCCACAGGGCTGCGGTCCTCGGGGCTTGACTGGGCTAAGGCCTGCTTCCAAGCTCATTCCTGTGGCCGAAGGCACTCAGGGTGGAGGCCACAGTGTGTTTGTAACCTCACCTTCAAAGGGACATCCACTTTGCTGTATTCTCTTTGCTAGAAGCAGGTTACTAGGTCCAACCCTCATTTGAAGTGGGAGGGTTACAAGAGGGCGTGGATCCATGCCAGATGTCAGAGGTCATTAGGAACCTTCTTAGAGGCTGCCTGCCCCTCTCTCTCTCTCTCTCTCTCTCTCTCTCTATATATATATATATACACACACACTGTATTTATACTGTATTTATATACTAAATATATACTATATAAATACTATATATTAATATAGTATATAGTAATATAAATGCATACTATATATACTATGTTTATATATAAATACATATTTATTGCTCACATGTTTTATATAGATATGCAATATATAAATTGCATGATTTTCTATAGATACGGAATATATACCCCGTGTTTATATGCGTAACACGTGCATATATGTGCATGTGCGTACATTTTATATGTACACATATCTCATGTTTTATATAGATATGCAACACACATGCATGTATTACATATGTAAAACATGCAATATATATGCATGTGCTATATTGGTAAGTTATGCAATACATGTATGTGTGTTATATATGCAAGATATATGGAATACATATATATCTCTCACAGGTGTGAAACAAATAAACAATATTCAATTCTCAAACACTACTACGAACTAAAATGTTCATTGTGTTTTGTAGTTTTTAAAGTAATTTTACATATACTATCTCTTTTAAGTCTTACCACTCAAGGAAATGTGTATCATTATTCACATTTACAGATCAGGAAGCAGAAAGTTTTACAATTTTTGCCCAAGAATACACTCAAATAAGAGCCAGAGCTGACAAATGAACCTGACTTCAGAATCTAAATCCCTTGTCTTTCTACCCTATTAACCTACCTGTCATGTTAATTGCTTTTATTAAACATCCAAAATTGGAGAACATCATAGGCAAATGCAGTTTTTTCCTCCTCTTTTTCAGGCCTTGATTTTCTAACACAATTGAACTCCATGTTTCCTCCAAGAAAAAATCCAGTAGCTTCAGGCACTTCAGTGTTGCATTCTAGCCCTCTTAATGTCTTCATGGGATCTCCAGGGAAAGAGGAAAATGAACATCATGATCTGACAGCTGAGCCTAAGAAAACATATGTGGGGAAACAGGAACCCAAAGACCCCTTCAAACAGGTATCTCCCTGAGAACGAGACTGACCTCACTGCGTGTTGTCGCTAGCAGGCACAATGGTGAAGTTCATCACTAGGAAGCAGACAGCTGCCACTGCACGTGTCCTGACTGTGGACAGTGCTGTGCACTGACTGGCTAGGAACGTACCCTTCAAACTTGATGTCACAGGTTAGAAACTAAAGGATACTTTTGAAGTGTCTCTGGATAGGATGAAGGTAATAGCAGATGTAAACTTAAACTTACACTATTGTTTTATAAGACAAAAATCTTGGTTTAGCTGTCTGTGTAAGAATATTTTTATACCTGAATTTTTTAGAAGTTATTTCCATTACAGCAGAAAGCACTGAATTGGTGGTTAAGTCATTTATCCCAAGTCTTAGAGCAAATTGAAGTTTTAGGATGGTATTGAAAAGATACCATAATTCAAGAAGTACAAAAATATCTTTTGACTTATTTTTCAAATATTTCTGTCTAGTTATATCACATTAGTATTTGGGGATTTTTTTTTTTTGCCTGTGGTAATTATTTTAAAGATACTCAACAGCCAGATGCTTATGTTGTCATTGGAACTCCTCTTTCTTATGCTATCATTGACATTGTTTTGGATTAGTAAACTTGATTTATTTTTCCACTAGTGCTAGCATTTTTTTTTTTTTTGCTTTCTCTATCCCTTTCTTTCTCATCCTTTACCCGACCCTACCTGTTGGATAAAAAGAGAAAGTTGGTACAAATCATGTGGATTATATGGGTACAACCAGAATGCATATATTAATTGTTTATTTTAAATGTGAAGTTTGCAAAGTTGATCCCTGGTGCTGAAACTGGAAATCTAAATACCTCTCCATCATCTAACCAAACAAAAAGTCCTGAGAAATTTGAAAAGCCAGAAAAAGAAAACGAAGCACAGTTACTATATGAACCCACAGTCAATGGATCTTCAACTTTAAGTAAGTACATAAAAATTCCTAATGTTTGAAAGTGTTAAGTTGAATACTCCCACATTTAACTTGAAAGGATAACTAAATGGATTGACCACAGACTAAAAATTTTAAATGTTTAAGGAGTTTAAAATTTATGACATCTCTCTAGTGTGCTTTTCATACTAGAAGATAATAAAATGTATATGAGTGGTTAATATAACCACATTTACTTGACACTCTGGGTGTTAATTTCATTTTTAATGTACTCTATAAGTGTCTTGATCTGGTATGATACAGATAGGAATTTAGTGTAGGACCCTTGGAAATGGATCATAAATGGATCATACCTAAAATTGTCTTTTTAAATTAAAATGAAGATTTATTTGCAAAGATACTATTCCTAACTATTTGTTTTTTTGTTATTTTTAATTTGTCAATTACAGTTGACATAATATATTATTTTATATTAGTGTGTATTTCCTCATATTAAAGTCCTGTTTGTAGTGTTCCTGAGCACATTGAAAGGGATATTAGGTTCATCTATAAGAGTCATCCATATAGAACAACTCTTTGAATGGAAGCAACTCTTTTATATAGATATCTATATTTTACCTTAAGGTTTCTGTGGATGGATTGCATTAGCCTGAACTCCAGGGCTTTGCCTATAGCCCTACTTTCCTCCTGTGTTCCTCCTGTTTGTTTTTAATAGTCTCGGTTTATCTAGTTTCTGCTGCAGCTTGTCACATTCATCTTTTCTAAGAGGGAATGGTTCAGAGATTCTTCAAGATCAGTCCCTCTGTCATATGTTGTTACTACGTTAGACAGTTGACAGTTTATATATAGAGATAAATGACTATTAGAAATAATATCATAGAAAGTTTGTAAGATTTGTATTCCAAACAGTGAATTTTTCTAAATATCACAGGAACACTGTTCTTTACCAGTTTACCAGTTTTTCAAGTTTTCTCATGCCAGATCTTATTTAGAAATGTTTGATGTCTTTTAGTCTAAATTGACCCTTAATCTTTTCTTCCTTTTTTCATATCAGATCCAAAGTTAGCATCCTCCGTCACTGCTGGAGTTGCCAGTTCACTGTCAGAAAAAATAGCTGATACTATTGGAAATAATCGGCCAAATGCACCATTGACATCCGTCCAAATCCATTTTATTCAGAACATGATACAGGAGATGCTGGATGACTTCAGGTAGTAACTGAGAGATTGCTCTTTCTGTCCGAGCTGTAACTGGCTTGTTTCTTATTAGGTTAAAACTGAAAGTAGAAGTGATGCTGGTGGTTTCTACCTGCACCCAGGCTCTGGTGTCCATAAAACCATAGGAAACATGATGAGTTTTATTGATCTTGATGTACTGATACTGACTCTCAGCCAGGGAAAGGCACATTTACCTGGGGTCATCATCAGATGATTCGCAGGGCAGCCCAGCAGGCGGGCTGCCATTGTGGGTGTTTTTATTTCTATCATCAAAATGTGGACAGATTCTGGTAAGCTCAGATAGGTTCTTATATACAGTGTTTATAGATCCCCTGCCCAGTATGCTATGTTGAATAATGTAGTAGAGAAGATATTTTCTGAGAGAATTCTGAATTTTTTCCAATAGAATGCATTATAATGTAATACTTAATTAAAAAATGTCTACACGGATTTATTCATGTCTTCTTGTCTTTTGAATTTTGAACGTTGTTAGAGTGCATTCTAGAACCTATTATCTCAATATATTTTGGAGGCTTTTTCAGTTATTAGAGTCTTCTATGTTTTTTTTTCTGACTTATAGTTAGTATTCTAGCTCCAATCTGGGTTATCATGAGCAAGAATGTTGGAGAAGAGGTACAGTTTTTGTTGGTGCATGTTTATTTTTAATGTTAAAAAGACTTTGAAAAATAATTTTAAATGTTAACACATACATTTTTTAAAGAAAAATTGTCATTTCGACATTTACATTGTGTCTGGTGTATGCAGCAGTTACTAAGGATACAAAAATGAATGGTCTGCCCATGAAGTCCTTGTAGTTGAACTGGGGTCAGGACGGTGTGTCCTGCTGTGGTGTGTGTTTGTTCAATGTGTGTTGATTCATTTGTGATCGGTAAAGAGGGCTGTGATGACAATATGATGAGCAAATTTTGTTCATGTACTGGCAGCCAGAGCAAAGTGCATGAGCACTGCTGAAGGCAGCAAACCGCCTGTCAGTGTTCATCTCTTTCCGTTCCCCTTCTCTCACCCTCATTGGCTCCGTGCTCCGTGTGAGGGAGGACTTCTGTCACTGCTCCCCCATTCGGGGGTTTTATTATTGCCTCCGTGCTTGAGAGCTCAATCCTTCTGTCCTTTTTCCCCTTTATCACTTTTTAAAAGTGAAGTCTTTATTGTTCATTTTTTAAACTATGCTAGTAATTTTATTGGGATTTAATTGTTTTTAATTGGTTATAAAGTTGCATATGTTTTGAGTGTCTGCTCCAATCCTCTTCACCTGAGTTCTGACATTTCCCTCCTCCCTCCCTTCCTGTTGTGATAAGAACACATAACATGAGATCTGTCGTTTTAATAGAGCTTGAATATTGGTAATTGTAGGTACAACGTTATAGAGCAGATCTCTTGAACTTACTCATTTTGCATAACTGAAATTTTATGATTGTCAAATACCAGCTTTCTCTTTCTCCTTCTCCTCAGCCCTGGCAATCACAATTCTATTCTCTGTTTCCGTGAGTCTATTTTAGTTATCTCATATGGAATCATTGCCATGTCGGTCCTTCTTTGACTGGCTTATTTCACTTAGCATTGTATCATTCAGATTTATCATGTTGTCTAATAAGTCAAGATTTCCTTTCTTAAGGCTGAATAATATTCTGTTGTAGTGTACCACATTTTGAAAATGGAGTCCTGTGTACCTATTTGTAAAGAATGTGGTTTTTCAGGAGTGCATGTAAATGTCCAAATTGTAGAATTGTGTGGATACAGCCGACTAGAATATGTGGGCGCAGCAGTGCTGGGAGCGCAGAAGCGAGCAGCTCTGCTGGGGCATGTACAGAGAGGGAGCCCTGCCTTGCCTTCAGCTCTCAGCACGCTTGCCCGTCTGTGCCTGGGGAGCAGGGGTGGGCAGGGGCCTCTGTCAGCTCTTCTGCCCCTGCTCCCCCCGCCGTCAACCAGACACAGCCTCCTGGGACTCACTGTGGACCCAGGAGGCTCAGAGGCCTTCTGTAAGTGCGCCTGCTCCGCCCAGTAGCTGTGGAATAGCTTCCCCTCACAGTGAGGGGCTGTCTCTCACCACTGCTCCTGCAGCTCTGGAGTGTGGCTGCCTTCTCAGAGGGGTTGCTCTCCTTCTCCCGTACGCCACGTCTTCACCAGCCTTTGTGCGTCTGTTTCTTAGGGGGTCTCTCCCAGCCCTCCTGCCCTGGCACTGATTTTTCACATAAGCGCTCAGCCAAGGCCCATGGGGAAAACTGGGTGAGTGAGTGCAGACATCGTGTGTGGCTGCGACTCCAGGGCACTCTGAACTGTCTGTGTGCCAGTCTTCAGTCGCCTTTACACATCTCTCAAGAAATTCAGCCAGTTCTCCTCACCCTGGGAGTGGCGGCTTTCTCCCCGCACTGCCCCGTGGAGGGTGAAAACGAGCACAGGTCTCTTCATGTAGAAGGGAATCCTCATTTTCTGGGTTGCAGTTCACTTGGGCTTCTTTGTGCTCTTCAGCTCTCTGGTTGAGGCATACAAACACGATTTTTATGGATTATCTGGCTTGTTCTTATTTATTAGGGTTGAGGAGATAACATCCTAAGTGGAAGTCTGTGGGTCTATTTCTGTTGTTTTTCAGGATTTAAACTTCTTCTGGCAGGCAGATCACTGATCCGTACTTGGCAGGTTTCAGGTTTTCTTAGTGCTAGTTTATCTCTGATCTGCCTTTATTCCTAATGTTCAGTCTCTCGCCTTTGACGGTGTCAGCTGAATGTCTGGAGCATTCCCCAGGCCTTGTTATCTTAGTGGGTCGTGAAGTTTAACCTTCGTTTCCCCAGCACCACAAGGCTGCCAAAGTACTTTCTCTGCTGTTTGGATGGATCTGCCATTTTCTGTTTGGTTTCCCGTCATCTGTCCCAGTATAGGCACTGCTTCAGAATCAGCAGACGTCTCCAGGGGAAATTGTGCTGTTTCAGGTGTGCTTTTCTGCAGGCTCCCCCTTTCCAGGGCTGGGACGTGGTAACCTTGGCTGCTCTGGCAGTCCCACACTCGCATGGCCCTCGCTGAGACGGTCTCCAGCTCCAAGCCGCTGCTTCAGCTCAGCCTCTGTTCTCCGCACCGTTGAATCAGCACATTCCCCAGGGGAAAAGCAGTGGGAAATGTGGGGCTTACCTGGCAGACTTCTCTTCTCTGCAAGAGAAGAAGTTCTTACTATCTTTGTGATTCTGTGATTCCTTTGATTTGTTTTTAATAGAACTTTTGCCAAATTCAAATGTAGAAGAGAAAATATTTTTCATGCCCTTAGGTTGGCAACAGAAAAAGTAAGGTAATTAGGAATAAATTTAACCAAAAATGGTGAATATCTTTATAGAAAAACATCTAAAAAATATATTAGAAAGCATTAACAATGAACTAAGTGCAAAGATACTGTGAAGATGTCAGTTATTCTAAATTGGTCTATAGATTGAATGCAGTTCCAATCAAATCCCAACTGGGTTTTTTAGAAGAAGATGTTGGGATAGTTCCAAAATAGATATGAAAGAAGAAAAGATCTGGGAATAAGCAAGACACTCTAGAGAAGGTTGAAGGGAACTTGATTATCAGATGAGTAAGCTTAAATATTAAGCTATAATTAAAATAGTGTATCATTAGCACAGGGTGACAGATTGGCAAATGAATCAGCTAGGGCAGAAAGAAACCTAAACGTGTATGGACATTGTGATCTGTGACAGGACACATGGCAGGTCTGTGTGCAGAACATGGAACAGTTAATGGGTTGTGTCATGACATGTTATAAGTACGGATCCCTTTTTCATGTTGTTAAAAATCAATTCCACATAGAATAAGAGTTTAAATGTTACGGGTAAAATTTTAGGTACTGTAAGAGAATTTATTTATGACTTCAGGATAGAAAAGTTATAGGAAGATATCCTACCTATATAAATAGATCGGTAAACTTGACTGTAGTATTAGTTTAGTAAATTTGAACTGCTCATCCCCAAAACCCATTTCAGAGTGAAAGGACAAAAAAATATCTGCAGTACTCAATATACCCAACCAAGGGTCAGATTATGCAAAGAACTCTTATTAATAAGAAAAAAGACATTCAATAGAGAAATCACTATAAGGCATGGGTCACCATTTCACAGAAGAGAAATCATATATTAACCTAGGAAAGATTCTCAGTCCTGGAATTAATCAGAGAACTAAAAATGCATTGTGACACCATTTCCCACCCATTCGATGGGGAAATGTGAAAAAATCAGACACCACCTGCTGGTGAGAATGTAGAGCAAAAGGGACTCTGTTGTACTGATGAGCGTGTCCATCGATATTGCCACCTCAGAAAATCGGTTGTGCATTGTTCTGTGAAACTGAGGAAGTGTACATCTGGATCATGCGTTCTATCTATTTATCTATCTATCTATCATCTACAGAAATTGGCACATGTGTGTTGGGAGATATGTAAATGATCATTTGTAACACCATTGTAATAATAAAGACTTGAAAACAATCCAAATATCAATTGACAGGACAATGAATATGTCAGTGCAAATCAGCAAATTATAGATATATAGAACATGAATTTTGAAAGTGTGGTACTGGATTATTTTCTAAAGGTATACTACTCAAAGGCTACATAGAATATAGTACCCATTTTGTAATGCTCAAAAGCAAGGAAATTAAAAATGTATTGAGAAAAACTCCATGTTACACAATTTTTGTTTTAAAGCATTTCTTTGCTTAAGCAAAATTCATCAGAGTAGTAGTGCCGTCATTCAGTAGTAGTGTCGTCATTCTCAGGCTTCTCCCAGAAGCTAAGGGATGGAATCAGAGAGAAACATACAGGAAGCTTCTGTGATTTTGGTAATGTTCTAACTTATAATTTGTATGGTGGGTGACTATTTCTTTTATTATTATACTTCATAATTTTTGCATGAATTAATTGCATTTTATTTGAGTATGCTGTAACCACCCAAGTTATCCCTTGCCATTTGACTGAAAGTATTTTTTAAATAGCTCAAACATCAATAGTAGTTAAAATGTTATAACCTACTAAATTATCTGTATTTCATTGCATTATAAACCTGTGTCTTTCCTTAGTGATAATTTCTATATTAAGGAATGTAGTGTAGTATAGTGGAGGTGGATAGCCTGGGTTTATGTCCTGGCTCTCCTATTTACAGGTTTTGTGACCTTGGATAAGTTATAACTGCTCTGTGGCTCAGTTACTTGATTAGTAAAAGGGAGGCAATAATTGTACCTATTATAAAGATTAAACAAATTCTTACATTTAAAGTATGAGAAACAGTGCCCAGCACTCAGTAAATAAGTGCTACATACATTGGTATTTTTATTATTGTAATGATAATTGTTAACATCTAATAATTTTAAAAATGAGAACGCTTAACCAGTTTCTTGAATGAGGTAGAATTAGTAACACTGTTACAGTTCTAACAAGTATTTTATATTCTTTCCTAGAGAAGCGTGTCATAGGGATATTGTGAACTTGCAAGTGGAGATGATTAAACAGTTTCATATGCAGTTGGTACGTATGACAAATTTTATGTTAAGTGAGCGTAGAGTTGTGGGTCTCCAGAACCATTAAAAGGTGGTATATTTTTTACTTAGTTATATCTAGTTGCTACAATAAAGCAAAAGGGATCTTTAGAAATTTAGTAAGTAAAATAATATTTAACTAGTCACATTTCTTTTTAACTTTTGATAGTTAAGGCAACTTTTTTCTTTTTAGTACGTAAGCAGAAAGCTTCCCAAATGTGCAAATAAAAACCTTAAAAATATATAAGTTTTACTAGTTTCTTGCATTTATATTAACAAAGTAGTAAGAGTGGTTAAGTCCGAAGAATGTCATTTAGCTAGTGAATTGAACATGAGAGAAATGATAGCTGACGGTATGTAAAACTTGCCGCATAAATTTGAAATGTCAATAATTTAAAAAGCACTTTTGTCCTTTTCTAGAATGAAATGCACTCTTTATTGGAAAGATACTCAGTGAATGAAGGTTTAGTGGCTGAAATTGAAAGACTACGAGAGGAAAACAAAAGACTACGGGCACACTTTTGAAATTTGAGAGAATACCTTAGTGTTTTGAAATTTGGGAAGTTTCTGGCAACACAGAACTACATGGAATCAGTATTGTTTTCACGTCCTCTGGGAAAAAAATTTCAAGTTAAAGGGTGATGGGATTTTATACTGACCACTTTCATTTTCTCTGTCAAAAATATTTATATTTTTTATATTAAAAGCTGTACAATGTATCATCTGCCTAATAGGAATGTCAGTAGGATCTTTATTTTCTGAAAGCTTTAGGTAGACACTAAGTGGCCTTTTTCATAAGAAAGTTGTGCAAATAAAAAATAGGTTATGGATGTTTTAAAGTCACCTTTTTTAAACAGATATATTTTTGATTGACAATTGCCTTCCAAATTTTTTTGGATGTTTGATGATTAAAGAGTTTGATATGCACTCTATTTTTTATGGAAAAAATAATTTTAAAATAGCAATTGGTTTTTCTAAGTAATTGACTAATAAAACACAAGGTTGGTTAGTAATTATTTTGTTAACTTGAAGAAGAATGACTTCTATTTATTACTTGTACTTTGATAAGACAATTTTTGGAATTTTGAATTGCACAGACTACTTTATATGTATTGCATTTATGTTATTGTATTGTACTCCTGACAAATTTGTACTCTTGACTGGTATTTTTTTAAGCTAGCTTCACTTTACCTATGAAAACTTTTAAGGATTTGAAAGATTTGACCAGAACTGCACACCTGCTACTTATCTTATGAATTAATAACAAGCAAAATTAAACGTTAAAGTTTCAACCAACATGATTTACTTTATAATCAGTGGAAATTTCATATTAGGTACTAAATATTACTGTATTATTGTCATTTTTCCCCCAAATGAGAAGTGTAGATTTTTTTGTGGTTTATATCATTAACTTTTTCTAATTCTTTGTGTGCTGTGTTTAATATTTTTATATTATTAACCTTATGATAACATTTAGAAAGGATAATTGTCAAAAGAATTTGTAAATCTTGGACAGTAGGTAGATGTACACATCTACAAGCATGTACATCTCCCTGACGTGATCTGGAGTTCTAGTCATATAATATTAGGCAGGTGGTTGGCTTGTGTACCTTCTTGTAGCCTCTTGTCCCAAAGATTTAAACAGTGTCTCTTATATATAGTCCTCCTGTCCAATTTTGACTTCTGAAATAAAAAAATAAATAAATAAAAAATAAAAAAGAAATGGAGCTAGCTTACTAACTTTATAGTTTTCCAAAGCAATGGAAAATTTTAAGGGTGTTTGTAATAAATGTAAATGTTCTAGTAACTATGTCAAGGAATAAAAACAAATACTACTTTTCCCCAGTGTGGCTCAGAGAATACATCTGTATTGAAGCTTAAGTGATGCTACTGTGGTCTTTTTCCTGGCAGATTATGAAAGCATTATGACTTGTAACAAGTTTTCTTATATATCATTATCAAGCAGCTTTAGGAAACATAAGTGTGTTTTGCCTACATGCTTTATTTAAATTCATTAATATTTCCCTGTTGCCTTTTTCTGTATATGCACTTGATGTATATTAAAAGAGGAGGGATAAATAAAACAGTTCCAGTACCTTCATGTATATGGATGAAACGTTTTTGTCAGAATTTAAAAGTTAAATAAGTACAGGCAAAAAAAAATTATATATGGTAAAAATGGGAAACCGGGAATTAAACTTTTGCTTCTGGCCAAGATGGAATACTAGGGATTGGGTTTATCCATATGAAATCTTTAAAAGAGACAAATATGGTGAAACAGTTTTCAAATAGTGGACATCACGAGGTGTAGAACCGTGATCCCTGTGACAGGAAAACAAGTGAGATCCAAGAAACTCAGTGAACCCCGAGCACAAGAAACAAGAAAATTACACCAAAGCACATCATCATCAAAGTTTTAAGTACCAGAGACAAAGAAAAATTCTTAGGCAGCCAAAGTCAAAAGACACAGAGGAGCAAAGATAATGTCAGGGACAGCGAGTGACCTCTTCAAGGTACCAAAAGAAAATACCCAACTTAGAATTCTATACCCAGCAAATATATCTTTCAAAAATTAAAATAAAAAAACAAAACAAAACCTTTTTCAGACTTACCTATAAAGACGGAAAGAATTCATCACAAGCAGGCTGGGCTGCAGGAAATGTTAAAAGAATGCCTTTATTCAGAAGGAAAATGGTACCAGATAGAAACCTGCTTTTATTCAAATGAATGAAGGGCACCAAAAATGGTACATATGTGAACCAATGTAAGACTTCTTTTCTCACTTTAAATGATCTCTAAAGGGTAATTGACTATTTAAAGCAAAAATGATAAGGTGTTGTGTGGCTAACATATGTAAAGTGAAATGTCTGATGACAGTATCAAGGATGGGAGGAGGAAAATACACATATTACTTTAAGGAGCCTGTACTCTGAAGCAGTATATTACCTGTAAGTAGTCTGTGGTAAGAATGTATCATGTAAACCCTAAAGCAACCAGAAAAAGAAAAACAGTTAAAACTAATAACCCAACAAAGATAGTGAAATGTAGCCATAAATAATCCAAAAGAAAGAATGAAAAGAAGAAGGGGGGACAAAAAATAGGACAAATAGACAATAAGATGGTGGACTTACACAGCAATATCAATAATTAAGTACAAATTGTCAGTTGCCCTTATTAGATTATTTTTTATCCAAATATATACTGAATCTGAGAAATCTACTTTAAGTATAAAGACAAATAGCTTTAATATAAAAATAAATTTGAAAATATATTGGACTAAATGCAGATGACCAAAATGTGTAGGAATCAGCTCTAAGCAAGTACTTACAGGGGAATTTCATTAAATATCTGCATTAAAAAAGGGAAGGACTCAATTACTTCAGTTTCTATCTTACTCCTGAAAAATCATAGCAAGTGAAACAAAACAAGCAAATGAAAGAATAAAGATCACAGAAGAAATAAATGCAATAGAAAACAATCAGTTCAGAGAATAAGTGAAATTAGGAGCTAATTCCTTTAGATCAATGCAATTGATAAACCTTTAGCCAGAATGATGAGAAAAGAAAAAAAAAAGACAAACTACCAATATCAGGAATGAGAGAAGTAACCACTACAGATTCTGCAGATAGTTTTGACAAAGAAAATGCCAAACCTAAATGACAACACTGGTGAATTCTTTCATGTTTAAAGGGTGAAATATTTTAATTCTCAACAAATGCATCCAGAAAATGGGAAAATTCCCAACTCATTCTTTGAGGCCAGCATTACACTGATACCAAAGTCAAAATGACATACCAGTATTCATCATAAACACATGCAAAAGTTCTAAACAGGATTTTAGCAATTTGAATCCAAGTATATGTAAAAAGGATAATACTGGGTTGACCAAAAAGTCTATGGTTTTCTCCATAAGAAAAAAAACACATTTTTCATCTTTGCCAATAACTTTACTGATCTGGATATTTTGAGTATGTTGGCTATATTTCATGTGGTATAAAGTTGATTTTTCTCAATGTCTCAATTTGATCACTATCAACTTCAAGTGGTCTACCCGACTGTGGAGTATCTATCATCCAGTAAGAAATCTCTAGCACGAAACTTTGTAAACCACTTTTGACAAGCTCCATTACTCAGAGCAGCACCTTCCCCATACACTGCAAAGATCTTTTTTGCATTTCATTTGCATTTTTACCTTTTTTGAAATAAAGCATAATATGCCAAAAATGTTGCATATTTCCATCTTCAATATTAAAATGGCTACACAAAAATTCACTAATTTTGATTTTTTAATGCACACTGATATGACAGCTGTCACAATACAATCTAACAAAATTGTTTCAAATGAAGCTAAAGACAAATACTAGTAGAGCCATCATACAGAAAAAAAAAACAAACTTTTTGGCAAACCCAATACATTTGACTAGTGAGGTTTGTCTTAAAAGTACAAACTTAGGCTAATATTAGAAAGTTAATGTAACTCACTATATCAACAGAGTAACATGAAAACAGTATGACCATCTCAATCATAGTACAAAAAGCATTTGACAAAATCCAGCATTCATTTCTGATAAAAACTCTCAGCAAAGTAAGAAAAAAAATAATTTCCTCCAACTGATAAAGGGCATTTTAAGAAAAACCTGCAGTTAACATTATACTTTATGGTGAAAGATTGAATTCTTTCCCCCTAAGATCAAAGTAAGGATGTCTGTTAACTTCTATTAAGCACACTAGAGTTTCTAGCCAAGACTATCAGGCAAGAAAAAGAAAGAAAAGACTTCCAGATTAGAAATGAGGAAGTAAAAATGTCTCTTCACAGATGACATACTCTACTACAGAAAACCCCTATGGGATGTATACAATATCTGAAACCAATAAGTGAGTTTAACAAAGTTACAGAATACAAGGTCAATATACAAACATCAAGTGCATTTCTATATACTAGCAAAAAATTGAAATTAAAAATACTACTTATAGTTGCATTAAAGGTTTGAGATTCTTTGGTGTAAATTTGATAAAAGTTATGTGAGACCTGTACACTGAATTCTATAAAATATTACTGAGAGAGAGGAAGCCTAAAGAAATGGAGAGATATGTCAGGTCCTCAGACTGGAAAGCTCAATATTGTTAAATGTCAATTCTTCACATATTGACTTAGATTCAGTATAATACAATTCTAATAAAAATTTTAGCAGAATGGTTTTTAACTGCATCTCTTTTACTGTTTTTACCTAATCTGTTAAGTATTTAATACCATCTATTTCATTTTTCAGCTTAGAATTTCCATTTGGTTCTTTTTTTATAGTTTCTAATTCTCAGTTGAAATCTTGTAATTTAATTCTTTAAACATATTCACTCTAGTTACTTTAAAGCCTGTGTCTGATAACTACTTCTGGATAGCCTATGCATTTCTTGCTATTTTACACTCTTTCTCTTAGTTTCTGGTCACATTGTGCATTCTGATCATGAATATTTGAGTGATTGACATCGTTTCATAAAACTGTACAAATACTTTGAGTCTGAATACTATTATTTTCTCCTGGAGAAGAAGATTTGCATCACTATAGCAGGCAGCTAGGCTGTGGGAATGAGTACTCCCATGTCATCTTTTTTTTTATTCATTACCTGAGAACATTTTTTTCATTTGTTTTAGAGAGAGAGAGGAAGGGAGAGAGAGAAACTTTGATGCCATAGAGAGGCATCAATTGGTTGCCTCCTGTACATGCTCGGACCGGGGATCGGCACCCTGATCGAGGGGGTCACATGCGCCTATGCCCTGAGTGGAGATCATATACTTACCTAAGTATAAGACCTGACCTGATCGACAGTTAACCTTGCAACTTTTTGGTTATGAGATAATGCTCCAACCAACTGAACCACACTGATTAGGGCTCCCATGTCATCTTAATTCAATTAAGGGTGAGGTGATTCCAAGTTGGGTTTAAGTCCCTGGTTTATTCTTATTTTCAAGGTATAATGCTCCAGAATTCCAACCAAACTCTTGGGGTTCTCTTATGGCCATCTTGCTTGGTGGGTCATGAACTCTAATTTTTGTCTCCATCTCTGTAGCGTTTTGCAAAGTTCTGCTTCTTACCTTGTTGATGTTTAAATGTGCTGTTTTTCATTTGAAGTTAACAGAATGCCAGACAAGTTAGTACTGTAGAAAACCACTATACCTTATCTAAAATATTTCTAGTAAAGTATTATGTATTAACTTATAAAGTTGTACATACTTAGACAGATGGAGCCCTTAAATACTACAGAGTTATAAAGATAAGGAGATAGTATGTTTAAATCGTTATTTGTTGGAAAATCAAGGGTGTGGTTATAGAAAAGCTATAGTTAGAACCTCTGAAAGGAAAAGGGTATCTTACAGTAAGCCAATGATTCTCAAAATGTGGTTTGGTGACCCCTGGGAATTCCCAAAAATACTTTGGGGGGCTTATGTGGTCAAAATTATTTGCATAATAATACTAAGACATTGTCTTTTTCACTCTTATTTTTCAGTGGCATAGAGTGGAGTTTTCCAAAGGTTACGTAACGTGATTACACCATTGCCTGATATCTAATGGAATTGGGTGCTTGTATGTTCTTGCACTTTCTAGAGTTTTCTAAGGGAAACTCTAAACTCTTCAGTAATTTTTAATAGTGTGAAAAATACCTGAGGCTAAGAAAATTGAAAGCCTGCAGTGTGCCTTTTCCAGCTGGCAAAAAGGATGTGA